GTGGAGTAACCAGGCCTGAAACCAGACTGAAAAGGGTCTAGGTAACCTGCTTCATACAAGGTCCGTTGGAGTTGGAGGGCCACCACCTTCTCAAAAACCTTCCCTAAAAAAGGGAAAATTAAATGATTAATTTAATTGTTAATTTTAATCTAATTTTTAAATTTTTATTGTTAATATTAATTGGGTTTGTTTTTGGATACTTTATTTAATTTCCTTTTTAACTTTTGTAATATGTGTTGTTGTTTTTTAACATTGTACGCCACCCTGAGTCCTTTGGGAGAAGGGCGGCATATAAATCCAATAAACAAAACAAACAACAAACAAAAGGGAGAAAATCTGGCAGAAACAATGAGAGTAATTTTGGCAGAAGCACCAGTGATAGCCAAAGGCAAACTGGTAGAAGGAACAAATGGAGGGTTTCAAATTCTTAAAAGATAAGAATGAACAACAAGTTGCTAAGAGAAGTCCACATGAAATTTATCAAGAAAATAAATAGAATACAGAATTTACAAATGGCAAGAGATATTGGGCGGCACTACTATTGGAAGGATACAGGATGATGAAATGAAATGTTACAATAAAAATTAATTTAAAGTTAGTTAAATTTTGAGTATTATGTATAAGACAAAGTAATGATAGTTATAGTCCAATAAATGATTAACAATGATAATAATGCACTTATATACACTAGATTGATAATATGAAATTTTATATAAACTGTAAGTGAGAATATAAAGATGTAATACCATTGGATGATTTAAGGATGATGTAATGATGCAATGAAATGCCATACTAGAATAGAATAAATCTATTCTAAATTTAGCATGCTTCACATAAAAAGGATGTAATAATAGTTCAATATTCAATATTCGTTTTTAATAATTATAATAATTGTATACATATATATTAGATTGATGATATGAATAATGGGATGTGCTGAAATGAGTAAGTTGACATATGAAATTAGAGAACAAGAAATATAATAATAATGCATAGAAATATAGCTGATTGATAATATGTGACTTTATATAAAGTTTAAGTGATGATTATGGAAAGGATGCACAAACATTTTGTAACCAATCGACACACTGTACATAATGGAAGATGTTTTTATGTTATATGTCTTGTCTGTCTATGTTTCTTTAAAAATAAAAACTTTTTAAAAATCATCACAGATCATGCCACAAAGGTATCTCAGTTGGACTTGCCCAGTCAGAGTCCAGGCTGGAGCAGATCTGATTGACTTTATCTACCAGATGACCACAATTACCTTCAAGAGGCCATGCAGCTGGTCCTGTGGCTTGTCTCTATCCAATAAGAACCAGGTCACCCACAACAGGCCATTGGGAAGTACATAGGGTAGTCACAATATGGGTAGAAGAATATTGACATTTCACTGTACGATACTGTAAATCCTAATATGGAGTTTTACCCAGTCCAGTCAGACTTATTCTGAGTCTTCTTCCAAAAGTGCTCCGGGTACCTCTTGTATTTTATCATTTTCTTTTCCTTTTTTTCAGGAGCGATCTCAACTCTACTGTTGAAGACGTGTGCCAATTTTCTATGCGACAATATGCTTGTGGCTTTGTAGAAAAGGTATCCTTCTTGGCTTTTAAATATCTTCAAGAAAATGATTTCTTAAATAACCATTTTGAAAGCTCAGTTGGACAGCATTATCAAACACTTAATTCCAAGGTGTATCTTAATTGACCTGTCCTGAGAATGGATATCTCAGGAATTGATTTGCTACAAATTTGAAAGATCTATTTTTGGAAAACTCCCATTGATTCAACATATCATAATTATTTAGAAAATTGTAAGAAAGGATATGGCCAGAATAGAAATAAAAAGCACAAAGAAAAGAAGAGAGTTTGGGCTTCACAATGCAAAAAACAATTGGAAGGAAATAGAATAGAATAGAATAGAATAGAATAGAATAGAATAGAATTCTTTATTGGCCAAGTGTGATTGGACACACAAGGAATTTGTCTTTGGTGCCTATGCTCTCAGTGTACATAAAAGAAAGAATACATTCGTCATGAATCATAAGGTACAGCACTTAGTGATAAGCATAGGATACAAATAAGCAATCAAATCATACTAGGAAACAATCAATATAAATTGTAAGGATACAAGCAACAAAGTTACAGTCATACAGTCATTAGTGGGAGGAGATGGGTGATAGGAACGATGAGAAGATTAATAGTAATAGATATCCTGTTCAGAATCATATCTGGAGAGAAAGAAATTACTCTACATACAAATACATACTTTAAACAAAAAAGACTTCATAATTTTCAGTTTGCATTAGAGAAATAAAATTCTTGCTACAGGAGCTTTTCCAATGAAATCCCAGCCTCTGTAGGAAAAAAGTGAATGAAAGTGAAGTATAATTATAATCTTTAATGTCATTGTATTTAAATACAACGAAATTGGTTTTAACCTCACTGGTGCAAAATTATAACAAATGAAAAAAGGAAGAAAAAGAAAAAAAACTAGCATGTGAATGGAGTGATTGTGGTAACGGTTGTATTTAAAAGTCTCACAGACCAAGGCTGGCTATATTTTGATGAAGACTGAGGGATGAGGAATATCTCTGCGTATAGCCAAAGCAAATGGATGAAAAGGGGTGACTCAGAGTCACCATTTGTCTCCAATTCCACTGGCTATTGGCCACAGCCTCAGAGTTGTGAAACTGGACATTTGAGCTCCTCTTGATATTTGTACATTTCTTCTTTCAGTGAAAATAATACAACCAATTAACAGGGATTTTGTGCTTCAGGTTTCCAATCTGACCTCAAGAAAATTGGTCTCTATACTCATGTGCTCTCTGAGGGACCCTGCCACCCAGCCTGATCAAGAGGCTTTCTTGTTGCTTTTTGAAGAAGTCAAGCTCCGCACTTTGCAGGATGCTCTGAATCAGATGAGCATGGAGGTGAGGCGACTGCCACCAGGGCCATCAATGCTGATGGGGGAGCATTTCTGCAAGTTCCTGGAGACTATACTGAGCTTTAAGTTTGGTTCCCTGTTTCTCAGTTTATCATTTGTGAGGAAATGAATACCTCCCTCAAATGATGCTTGTGGCATCATTTTCTACTATAATATGAACAGTGCAGTGTATAGGCAAGAAAATAACAAGGGTTCACCTATCTATTCTAGAAGAGTTCAAATCACCAGGACCAGATGGATTACATTCCAGAGTTCTGAAGAACCTGGCAAATGTGAGCTCTGAACTACTGAATCATGTATTTCCAAGATTCTGGAGCACCAGGGAGCTACTAGACGACTGGAAAAGAGTTGAAATGGTTCCTATCTTCAAAAAGGGGGAGGTGGGAAATGGATCCAGGAAACTACAGATCAATCAATACCAGGGAAGATCTTGAAAAAAAAGAGGAATAAATAAGGAATAATCTGCAAATATCTAGAGCTGTGATGGTGAACCTATGGCACGCCATATCAGCGGGCATATCAGCTATATCAGTGGGCATGCGAGCTGTTGCCCTAGCTTGGCTCCAGCGTGCATGCCCTTGCTGGTCAGCTAATTTTTGGGTGGCCCACCCATACTGCACTTCCCTCCCCAGGAGCCCCATGTGATGCCAGGTAAGTTCACGGCTAGTGTGGGGGCTCTGGGAGGGGGGTTTTCAGCCTCTGGAGGGCCTCCGGGGGGGCAAGGGAGACCGTTTTTGCCCTCCCCAGACTCCAAGAAAGCTTCAGAAGCCTGGGGAGGGCGAAAAACAGGCAGACTGGAAGTCGGGAAATGAGACCTCTGGGGAGAAGGTGGGTGTTTTCACCCTCCCCAGACTCCCAAAAAGCTGTGGGGGGCAGCGGGGATGCATGTGTCACATTCCCATGTGCAGGAGACACGGTGCATGGGGCATTAAATTATGGGTATGGGCACGCATGTGTTGATGATAGCAAGGGGATAGAAGGGAAATCATTAAATTTGTAGACACCAAGCTTTGGGAAATAGCCAACACTTTAGAACAGAGGCTCAAGACCCAGAAGGATTTTGACAAACTTGAGCACTTGGCCCCATCTAAGAAAATGAAATTCAAGTTTTGAAAAATAAAGTTTTATACTTAGGCAACAAAAGCCAAATGCATAGGTATAGAATAGGTGGTACCTGACTCAATAGCAGTAACTGTGAGAGTGATCTAGGAGTCCTAGTGGACAATCATTTAAATATGAACCAGCAATGCATTGCAGCCACAAAAAAGCCAATGCAGTCCTAGGCTGCATTAAGAGAGAGATAGAATCTAGATCAGTGTTTCTCAACCTCAACACCTTGAAGATCAGTGGACTTCAACTCCCAGAATTCTCCCACCAGCTAGCCTGGCAGGGGGATTCTGGGAGTTGAAGTTCACCCATCTTCAAGCTGCCAAGGTTGAGAAACACCGATCTAGATCATGTGAACTCTTAGTACCATTTTATAATGCTTTAGTAAGACCACAATTGGAATATTGCATCCAGTTTTGGTTGCCATGATACAAAAAGATGTTGAGACTCTAGAAAGAGCTCAGAGAAAAGCAACAGAGATGATTAGGGGACTGGAGGCTAAATCATGATGAATGGTTGCAGGAACTGGATATGTCTAGTCTAAGGAAGAAAAGGACTTGGGGTGACATGATAGCATTCTTCAAATAGCTAAGGGCTGCCATAAAGAAGAGGGGATCAACCTATTCAGACATGTGAGGGCAGGACAAGGAGCAACGGATGTAAACTTATCAAAGAGAAATCCAACCTAGAACTAAGGAGAAATTTCCTGATAGTGAGAACAATTAATCAGTGGAATGGCTTGCCTTCAGAAGTAGTGAGTGCTCCATCATTGTAGGGTTTTAAGAAGTGATTGAATAGCCACTTGTCTGAAAAGTTATACGGTTTCTTGCCTAAGTAGGGGTTGGATTAGAAGACCTCCAAGGTCCCTTCCAATTCTGTTTCATGGGAAATTAATAAGAGGGGGCTTTGTTTTACTTCTGCTTTCCTCTGACATACATAAAAGCAATCAGTTTACCCAAAGATACTCAAATTAATGGGCCTGCTGTTTTAGATCTCAAGAGACCAGATGTTACCAGCTTTCAAAAGATTCTTGCTGAATGCAGCATGGGAAAAAATAAAGACAGATCCTCTGGTATTGAATGCTGGCTTCCTCTCCTCTTGGTTCCAAGAGACGATGCACTCTTACTTGACGGATGTGAACACCAACATCTTAGACTGCATGATTCAAATTCCAATAACCTGTGATGGCTTCAGAACAATGTATGTAGCAACTATTTGAATGGGTTTTAAAAATTATTTCTTATTCAAAGTTTTTACCCAGCTAAAAGACAAATACAGAAGTGTGAAAGGAAAAAAGGAAAAGGAAGAAGTGATGAAAAGAATACTTTAAAAAAGGAAAGGATAGTTAAGAATCTACTTTCACCCTCCTTTACCAAAAAAAAAACATTCTCCCTCCTTCCTCCTAAATGTTACAACAATCTCCTCAATCCCTATAACCATCTGAAAGTTCGCCACTTTATATAAGTGGCTAACTTATATAAAGGGAGAGGGAGAGATGACAGGTGCAGCTGTTCAAATATGATTTTTTTTGTTGACTCATTTATTGAATATTTATGGGATCTATATTTCAATTTTGTATCCACAGATGGCTTTTTAGATAGGTATCTAAAAGTTTGCCCAGTACATTATAATGTATTTTCAGGCACATCACTCTGAATGTAACAATTTCTGTGAAGAATTTGCCCTTTGCCATGTTGCGCTTGTCCCCTAAGCCAGGGGTCCCTAACCCCCAGTCTGTGGACCAAAACAGTCTGCACTGTGGCCAGCAAGCAGTCCACGTAGACAAGATAAGCCCCATTGGCAGGATACAGGCAGCATGCAAGACCATGCCCCCTTTCGTATGCGGAAAAATCTCTCTCCACTGGTCCCTAGTGCCCAAAAGGTTGGGGCAAGTCCCAAACTGCAGTGCAAAATTCAGAAAAGTACAAATTTCTTTTTTTAATAAAGTTTTTTATTTTTTTATTTTTATAAACCTCATTGCGTGAACGGTTTGATTCCTGGGTGTTATACAGTTCAATACAAGTAAACATAACAGTATTATTCCTAATAATTACATTTCCTTTTCCTTTTAGTTTTACCAACATATAACTTCTATTATCATCCCTCAATTTTAAACCTTCTCATAGTTCTGCCATATGTTGTATCATCTTAATATCTATTTTTACTATTTTCCCCTCTTATTTCTACCTCTATTTTAGTCATTTGCTAATTATGCATAATCCTCCCAGAAATTCTAAATGGCTGTCTAGATATTTCAAACAAAATATAGAATCTATAGTAGAGACTTAATGCAGGCTAGAATTCAGATAGCCTACTAGGTTTAAAGCAGGTGAGATGGGAACTAAAATTTGAATCCTAAGGACCACTATCCACAAAAGGAATGTTTGTAGCATATCTATTCACAGGATTTTTGATTATTTGTCTTCCTTTCATTAGTGTCCAGGCCTTAGACAGTGTGTACCAGGATATGGATAACAGCACAAGGCAGTTGGTGACCAGCTGGATTGGAAGATTCCTTACTGTATTCCGTAAGTGAGGAAGTGGGAGATACAGAGCAACCCCCCCACTCCTGATTCACATTTGAAATAAATTATAATTCCAGTTAAAAAACACAAGTTGGTCATTAGCACAATTTAGCTTGCCTTAGAAATAACTTCCTATGTTCCATTGTATAAGAGTTCTTCCCATACTGATTCAGATAAATCAGAAATGGGACATATTGGCTGAAAAAAATTCAGCTGCTGGAATTCTTGTGGAGAATTTGCTTAGACCTCTTGCTAAAGAGAACTTCTCTTTAAAAAACCATTTACTTGACTTTAAGTGCCCGCCAAAGAGATTTAACTTAATAATTAAAATGTGCTCCATTGAACGCTCCATTTAATTTGGAGATTCTGAACCAGTGATCTCAGTCTCAACAAATCATTTAATTTGCATGATGACATTGTGATGCATGTCATTACTCAAGCTCCTGCAGACAGCAATGACTGGGTGCAGCCCTGCCAAAAGATCTACCAGAGGTGCTTGGAATGGGGGGGGGGAGTTAGAAAAGTGAGGGTGGGGGCTACATCTGTGTAATCCAAGACTCTCCATTCAAATGCATTGTGATGCACATTTAAAAAAGCAGTCTCATGGTCTGTGTGGTCAAAGTTATTTTGTTAATTTACCAGCTTTCCAATGATGGTATTCCATTTTTTTTACTACTGGTTCTGTGGGTGTGGCTTGGTTAAGGTGACCAGCCGTCCTGATTTCAGCGGGACAGTCATGATTTCTAACAATTTGTCCCGTGTCCCAGGGCATTTTTAAAAAGTCCCAATTTTCTGGCTTCATGTTGAAAGCCCAGTGGATTTGCTTAAGAAATCCTAACCGGGCAAGACAAAAGACACTCTGTCTAACCCTCTCTCTCTGTCTCAGTACTTTCATTGAAGATATTAAAACTTTAAAGCAAGAAAACGGACACCCCTCCCCCGCCCTTTACCTCCTTTTATAAGAAAAAATGACCAAGTACCATAGAGCTCCAGGAAATGCTTGGC